ATAAGCTCAATTGTTATTTAACGTTAACCTATTAACACCTTTAAAATATTATTTTATCTAAATCTTTAAATAATGCTTTAGAGTTTATATTTAGCTGAATCTTTCCACATTTCAGGGCATTACACCTGGTTTCCGAGGAAATTGAATCAAATCCAACCGCACCTACCTTTGCATGGGTGTACACCGATGCTTAAAAGATGAATATAATGGCTCGTTTGCCTTAGGCTTTCGTCGCAAGACGGCTGGTATTCTTGTGTGCGATTGTTTAAGTAATTATCTACAAATACCACGCCCACTAGCATAAGCAGACTGTGAATAAAGCAGCAGGGAATACTTTGTAATAATACTATTTTTTATAGAATAGTTGTAAATTCACTTTGCCTCTTTAGATTGTTAAATAAAGTACACAAAAAAAGATCCTCCCAATTTTAATCGATCCATTTTATGTTGTATATCTATATTAATAATTAAAAATTCCAATTTTATCTGTTTTAATTGAGAAGAAAATAGAACATTACTTACATTAATTTTAATCAACCCCTCTTCCGTCGTTATCTATCTCCATTCAGACTTCCACAGTCACCGGGCTCTGTAGAGCGAGGTCATATCTGGGCTAATCCAAGGATGGCTCTTAGCGTAGACGCACTGAATTTCGACATCTTCAAGACCTCAAATCAGGATCCAGCTAAGAACAAAGGATTCTTAATCGAGAGGCACCTTTCATTGGCAACGCACGCGAGGTTTGAAAGTGGCGATGGAGATTACAGAGCCACAGCTGAAAATTTGGGTTCGAGGAAAGAAACAAAATTGGGCCCTCTGTTAGAAAGGAGATGGGGCCTCGAGAATGGAAGAGCCTGGGTTGACACAACGAAACAGCCGAAGGTCTTAGATGTTAAAGTGGATCTGCGGCTGGTCGACATGAGAAACCAGCCAATTGTCAGCTTGGCCGGGGCCAATATGGCGAGACTTGTAGTCACCTTGACAGCGAGAAAGGGTAAAAGGCAATTTAAATAAATAACACATTTTACTGGGATTTTGGGTAGCTTTGAATTTCTGTACAAACTAAACCTGTCAGAACATACATTTTTATCCTAAACATAGAACAGGCCATCTAGATAATCCTACAAAACTATACCAAAAATGTGCATTACATTTTACCACTGATTAAGGGCAGGTATTGTACCATATTCGGATAGGAAAATTTCTCCCTGCTTAGATGCAAAATTGAGCAGAAACAAAACTGTGAAGGACCAATTAATAGTTTTACATCATTTGTTCTTACTTTATGTGGGAAAGATGGGTTGAAGGGTCTCTTAGGCTGGCCTCAAGGGAAACCCAGGTAAATTTGTCATAGAGGTTGCTAGAATCGATTTGCTCGTAGAAGCTTTCGAAGCACCGCTCTCCAATCTCCATGACTCAGTTTTACTTTCATATCATTATCATCAGATAAATTCCTTCTATATAAAAACACACATAACTATTGTCGCAGCAAGTCGAGATTCTTGATTTGGTTTTGTTTTATAGGTTAAAAAATAGTTGTTTCAATGAGATCTGTCACAGTAGAAAAAGATCAAACTCAAAATTATTTCAAGCCCCCTTTCTAGACCATCAACAAATCGTGAACTTAATAAGGACTGATAGTGAATTTTCCCAAAATACTATACATAGATCTCACAATATCATTTAGTTCCAATTAGTCATGCCTTACACAGGACATTCTCATCCTGGATGGACTGCAATTTCTATTACCAGCAGGAAGAAAACACAGGCAGTGAAGCGTTTATTTTCGACATGTTCCCGCCATATTGGGAAAAGCTTGGTATCAAAGACCGCACTAATTAGTTTTTGTAAAATGACCTTTCATCTCGAAGGAAAAGTTGGTTTGAAGGAATTCGTAAATTTTTTCCACCAAAACCGAAAGAGAATTGGTAATTGTTTTGAAGTTTAATGTCCCTTAAGCTACAGATTTCATAACTACTACAATAGCCACATATGCATGCTTGAATAGTAAGATAATAATGAAATCCGTGTTGTGGTTTAGCTATACTCTGCCCAAGTTATTACCTTCTTTGCTCACTAAAACATCCACAAAAGGTTTTTTATTCTTCTTTTCTAACCCCATTGTAAACCTAACATCGACCTCTGTCCCAATTTTTTAGCTCAAGGAATTTGTCCAAGCAATCTTTGCCGTGTTTTGGCTAAACAAATAAGTAATATTCCACATATTTGACTAATAACTTGAGAAATATGAACTTCCAATTGGGCTATGCAGTTTTTAGCTAAAATAGAGGGTAAACAAAATCCCATGGCCAAGCCCCGTGTTTACTCATGCAACTTTATATTGACCAAATTGACTGATCTAATGATTGAATCCTTGCCCAACTTTCAACCTACTACGATCCCAGAAGGTTGATTAAGATTCGACTCGATTGCCTTCATTACCTCGTTTAGAACCCATATAAACTATATTGAAACCAACAAATCTCCTCTTTCTATCGTCTGGTCATCAATTCACTTTACAATTTCGTAATAGTCTCTTATCGAAAATTTGCACGTTTCTAAGATTTGTTTCAGCTGAATACAAATAAAACACCAGCGCCCTACCTAGATTATTTACAATACTCCCAAGTGGAGTGGCATTTTTCTTAACAATTTTGAGCTCTAGCATCTCTCTGGAGAAGTGAGTTTTATTTCCACTTTTGTAGTCCTCTGTTGTGCACACGCTCTTTCAGACAACCTTTAAGTGTGACCTTGAAAATTTCACTCGGGTTCCTAATTATAATTTTCTATGTCGCTCCATCGTCTAATCCCTATAACATTTTCTCTACATAGTCAAACCTATCCATTACTTCTACTGCTCCCCCTTTGTCTGCTCTCTACACTAAATGGTATTAAACTGTGCTTATATGACGCTTATTATTATCAATCAATTTGATGATGGAAAAGTCCCATAAGGTTTCACTGTATAAGAAAGTGACTTTTCTTTGAGTTAATTCTCATAGCCAAATCTCTGAATTTCTCATCTTGTTTCATCATTGTCTGCAAAAAACCTTCATTGTACAACTTATCCGCCATTTTTTGTAGCTTAAGAAGGTCTTCAGAACTAAAACTACGGACGGGGTTTTGACTGAGACTGGACTTAATTCCAGTTACTAAGTACAATTTTGCAAAATTTTACTTAAATTTTATATCATCCAATCGTGCATACATTCAAAAGCTTAGCCATAGTTTTATATGATAAATTTGGCCTAGACGATAGCTAAACACGGATTCTTCTGAGTCGCAAGACCATAAGCCGATAACTCCTCACTAGTCCATGGCAATCCTTTTCCCTAGCTTCATTTACTTATATAAGGCAAAATCTATCATTGCATCCACTTCCTGTCTATGAATTAGCTTCATTCATCTGCAATAATGTTGAATAAGTTTGAGGCAGCCGACCAAATAGAGGGATGCTTTATTTCGGCCGCAAGACTAAATGGAGAGGTGACTAAGGTTGCAGCCGGACACCTTTTCTCTTGGTTTAGTATATTTTTGTTCTGTTTAGTAAAGTTTGGATCCTTCTTCTGATGATGTCGGCCACAGAACAGACGAAAGCTCAGCACAGGTTCATCGAACCCGTAGGACAATGAAGCGAAAACCTCTTCGTACAATCCAACAGCCTTCATTCTGCGGGAATCGTTTTTTGGCTTCCGATG